TAGTAGCTCCCCTATTTTTTTCGTATTCTTTGACCCATAGTATTTGCTTATTGTTTCGTTCGCTCTATGTATCATATTTTTCAGTTTGTTATTATTTGATGCTATTTTTTATTTTACTTGTTGTATCGTTGTTGTTGTTTATAGCCATGCAAATATCTATATATTATTAGAGTACAAATTTAAATGTCTTTCATTCTTTTTTAAACCTCGTGCCTGGTAAAATAGGTTCGTTCTTTTTAAAATGAAAAGACTATTGTGTAGTAGGTGAATTTTTGTACGTGAATATTATTTGTTGAATCCCCTTAATTAGTGGGGAACCAAAATTTTCAATAAGAGGATTCATAATATAATAATTAAGTAAACACACAAAGAAGCTAAGAGAATTCAATATTTCTTTTTATATACAAAAAAATAACTTTTACCTTTTACATACACAAAGTAAGTTTCCGGCGAAGAGGGTTCAGATAAGCCCTTTTGTACCACTTTAGCTCCAGCCTTATCTTGATTTTTTTTTTGTATATTTACTTTCCTTAATTGAAATTTTAGTTTTGCCGCTGACTATATTTGTAGTTTAGATATGTGATATCTGACTATTAATTAATCAAAGGTTTGATGAGAAACTGTGATAATTCATAATATATTAATGAATGAATTAAAAGTTTCAATGATTTAAAAATAGTTTGTATGAGAACGCATGTTTATGTAATGACGGGTAAATATTTATATGATTCGAATATTTATATCAAATCAAATAATTTATAGGTAGAATAATAACTCATACTTTAATTACACTGCACTCGTCATGACAGAAATATATTGAGCAATCATGTACTAGAATAATAATGTACAAAAATAATATTAAAAATTATAAAATTGATGTTGCGACTTGTGTTTACTTCATAAGTTAAAAATGATGTCATACGAGATAGTATCGACATACACTAAGCAAATTTTAAAATTTTAAGTTAGTCGCCTGAAAATTATTTCGTCTATATCCTTAGATATTTTCAATATAGTAAATTTGAAGTATTTATATTTATATTAGAGATATACTAATGGTTGTCCTTTTCTCTACTGGCCAAAAATATGGTTTGAATTTCCAATATTTTGCGTGGAACCTTTGTACTCCATCTTGTTATGTCGAGGCAGAGGCAAACCCGAAAATAAAGAAGATAAAGAACACCAAATTTTAACGTGGAAAACCCTTCAAATCGAAGGTAAAAACCACGGGATCACAAAGATCCAAAAAACTCCACTATAACAATAAGAGGGTTACAAAAGTTCTCCAAATAGGCTACACAACAAGGGCCAAACACGGAGCAACAATAGCAACAAGAGCAACAACTAATCAATTGAAGAAAGAGTATAATCCACAAAACAAAGCTGCTGTTCGAGGCTCGAAATCAGAAGCTACGAGCCTCCAAATCCGATCTCCACCGTTCAAATCCAAGACCAAGATGTTGTGTGCACTCAGTCAAAATTTCAGCCCGATCCAACGGTTAACGAATCGAAAAACGTGATTTGAAGTTGGCTGGTTGGAATAAAAATCTGCAGCAAAACAAATACTTTTTTTCTCTCTTCTCTCTTGATGAAAGCTCTCTCAAAACCCACTCTTATGTGCTTAAGTCTTATTTAGGGGGAGAACTTTACGGGACAAGTGTTAGTGTGTCACTTGTGTTGCCTCTTCGTGAGGTTGTTCTCTCGATATTTTGTACTCTCTTTTATTATAGTGGATTGCCCATCTCCGTTGTGGACGTAGGTCAGTTGACCGAACCACGTTAAATGTTTGTGTCTCTTTTTGTAGATTTTTCTTTGTTGTGTGATTTATCGTCGTTCAAAGTTTGCTTTGCTAGTTTCCGCATGACACCTGATTTTTTCGGTCCTAACAAGTGGTATCAGAGCCCAGGTTCAGTGGGACGAGTATGGAGATGGCGGAGTGATGGTACTTTGTTCGCACACCCCTAAATAGGCCATTGGGCCTTTGGCTGGACAACATGGGCATGTGCCCAACAAACTCCCCCTCCAGCCAAGGGGCCAAATGTGTCTTCAAGTAGAGGAACTATTGACAGGCTTCATGCCTGCCAATTTTCTACAAAATTCATGTTTATCTGCAACCACCGCCTTTGTCAGCATATCCGAAGGATTTTCATCAGTGTGTATCTTCTCAACCTCAAATAATTTCTCTTCCACGGCCATTCTTATCCAATGCTACTTTCTATTTATATGTTTGGTCTTAGAATGAAAAGTGGAGTGCTTGGTGAGACAGATAGCACTCTGATTATCACAAAATAAGATGTACCGTGGCTGCTCAAAGCCAAGATCATTAATAAACTCCTTCATCCATAATAGTTCTTTGGCACCTTCTGTGACAACAATATATTCGGCTTCTGTGGTGGATAGAGCTATGCACTTCTGTAGTCTAGATTGCCAAGAAACAGCTCCCCCTGCAAAAGTGATCAAATAACCGGAAGTGGACCTTGAATTATCAAGATTGCCTCCTAAATCAGAGTTTGTGTAACAAACAAGTTCAGGCTTGCCATTGCCAAAGCACAACTTCAAATCTGCAGTACCTTTTAAATACCTTAATATCCATTTTACTGCATCCCAATGTTCTTTTCCAAGATTGGAAATGAATCTGCTAATAGTGCCAACGGCATGTGTAATATCTGGTCTAGTGCAAACCATATCATACATCAAGCTACCAACGGCAGAAGAGTAAGGAATACGAGACATCTCCTTTTTCTCTTCATCAGTAGATGGACTTTGACTAATACTCAATTTGGAGTGTTTAGCAAGAGGAGTACTAACCACTTTTGCATCTGTCATATTGAACCTCTTGAGTACCTTCTCAATGTATTGCTTTTGGGACAGAAATAACTCATCTCTATCTCTATGTCGGTGGAGTTGAATGCCCAAGATTTTCTTTTCTGGCCCCAAGTCCTTCAATGCAAACGATTTGCTCAACTGCTTCTTAAGGACTCCAATTCTCGATTTATTCTTTCCAACAATAAGCATGTCATCCACGTAAAGCAATAAAATAATAAAATCATCATCAGAGAACTTCTGGAAGAATACACAGTGGTCTGAAGAAGTTTTCTTGTACCATTGTTCTTCAGTGACAGATTCAAACTTCAAATACCATTGCCTTGGAGCTTGTTTCAATCCATACAGGCTCTTTTTCAATTTGCAGACATAATTTTCTTTTCCCTTAGTTACAAAACCCTCAGGTTGCTCCATATAAATCTCCTCATCTAAATCACCATGAAGAAAAGCAGCCTTGACATCCATCTGCTCAACCTCTAAATCTAGACTTGCGGCTAAGCCTAGAACCACACGAATAGAAGACATCTTCACAACAGGGGAAAAAATTTCATCAAAGTCAACTCCCTTCTTCTGGCCAAAACCTTTAACAACTAACCTCGCCTTGTATCTAGGCACAGAGGTATGGTTATCTTGCTTTATTCTGAATATCCATTTGTTAGATAAAGCTCTCTTATCTTTCGGCAATTTCACTAACTCATATAAGCCATTCTCATGGAGTGACTTCATCTCATCTTCCATCGCTTCGACCCAATGATCTTTGTGATT